GTAATTTGCAGTTATACCTCCTCAGTCCTAAAATACTGAGGAATAGAGTGAAGAAATAAAATGGAGTCACTATAGTCAAGCTGCTGAATTACTAAAATCAAGTAGGTTTAGGTATGAGGAAACAATTCTATTCTTGTTTTGACTAGCCTGAGAAAAACTTTTGAACTCTCCAGTCCGGTGTCAATACGTAGATATATAAAAATATATATATATATATCTCCAGATAACTCTCTGGTTATCCCCTGAAGGACTAAAGAAAGAATGTCCATGTATCCAGACCATCTGACATCCATTATAAAGATTACCTGACAGTTCCAGACCTCGGTCATAGATTACCATCTCATACTGATCCAGAGACTAAGAATGCAGGACTGATTCTTTTCAAGAATGGACTTTTTACTATAAGAATCTTAGCTTTTTTTTCTTCTTTGGAACACTCTGGATATTGCCTAATTGTGTTTCTAGTTTTGCAACCCTGCTAGTTCCCTTCTTAATCATTTATTTCTGGCCAAAGTCTCCAGACTCTTTTAGTTCTTTCAGTAATACTATAGTGCATATTTCCTAAACAACAAAAACAAAACATTCTCCTATACAAAGACATCAGAAAATTAACAATGATAAAATATTATCTAATCTGGTACGATTTCTTTTAATATAACTAGTTAAGTGATCTTAATGAAATTTACTTAACCTCTCTGAGCTTCAGAGTTATCAATAATATAACGTGAATAATAAATCCCAAGTGGCTGTTATGAGAAACAAATGACCTAATGCATGCAAACTATATATTTTTAGTGTGAAACAGATGTTTATTATTAGTAGTGGTATATTTAGTAGTTTGCTCATTTAAAAAAGTGCTTAATGTCTCAGAATCTGGCTTTCACTATAAATTAAGAAGATGAAGCCATTTTAAACACCTTTAAAGACCAAGCAGATTACATAATGTGTGAAGTTCTCCACTATAAGAAAATTTGGGGAGATGGTTAGTGTGGCAAATTGGAAAGAATACTCATATAGGCATTCAAATTCATATTAAGAACAAAACAAAGTAAAACAAAACCACTGCGCTGTTCAAACAAAATTCTGTAGGCTGAATACAGTACACTGAATCTCTTGGGGGAAAAATGTCTATAATTCTTGGCCTAGACAACCTCTAGGTTCTTTCTAGCTCCAAAGTTCTATATAATTATACGACATAATTATAATTCAAACTGCATGTGGAACTTAAAGTTACTGTAACACTTTTAAATAGGACAATTAAATAATGTAATATCTTTTTAGGAGTAGTTTTAGCTCATAATAAAGAGGCTCAGAATAATAAAATGAAATCGATACTGTCTGAACTGAAATCAAGCACAACCTCAACTAGATTACAGGACTATCTCTGTATTTATTAAACAAACAAAAAAAAAACTATGAAGAGAGGCCAAAGAAAACCAGAAAGAGTAAACAGGAAATATGAATTCGCACAACAAGGCACAGATGTCAAAATACTATTTGAGAATAGTTTAAAAATGAGAAAAGAAAAGAAAAAAAGAAGGGTAAAATGGATGGAGATAAGCAGACAATTCGAAAAAAAAAACATACGTAATTGATAAATATATAAAAAAGACTCCAATTTCTCAACTAACCAAAGAACTAAACATTAGGACATTGTTTTTGTTCTTCCAATGAACAAATTTTATCATGTCCCATTCATAACACTTAACTGACAATCTTATTTAACTTAGCAAGTAATACAAATAATGTACAAGTTAATAAAATAAAAAGTCAGTGTTTCCCAACCTAAACACTACCGACAGTCAGGTGTGAATCCTTTCTTTTACTATTTCTTTTTTTTTAAGGTTTTATATATGTGAAAAATATAGAAAACTATAAAAACAGAGTAAAATGTGTCCACAATTGTACATCTTTTTATGGAATGTATGTAAAATAAGAACTGATAATCCTAACACCATCCTTTACTCCAACCTCACTTGACTGACATAATAACCCTGTCTTCCTGTTCTACAACTTTTGGGGCGCATATATTATAAATTATCCTTTCATAAAAGTTCTAATTACTTATAAAAATGAGAGCATATTCCGCAACCTCTAAGTAAATGTAAAGAGATAAGCAAAGGTTTGTTTTGTTTTAATGATACCTTCTTGTTAGAACAAGGGTGCTGTAAAACAGGTACTTACCTACACTGCTTTCTACTCATGGTAGATATGCAACATTTTATCTACCTTTCAGAGGCCAATTTGGCAATATATAAGAATAGCCTTCAAAACATTTACAACCTTTGATCCAATAATTCCATTCCTAGAGATTTATCAATGCTCAATATAATGGTAGATGAAAAATGCAGAATACAAAATTGCATGTGACGATTTGTAAAACAAGTAAAGTTACAAGTAAATTACATCACTGCGGGTGAATTCTTAAAACGTAATGCTCAGTTAAAACATATAACAAAAGTTTATAAATATTATGATTCAATTTACATAAAGGTAAAAAACAGGTAAAACTATAAATACATACATATATTACATAAGAATTTTTAATAGGGAGAGACTAGGAAATAATGCCCAATATCTTGCTAGTAGCTTTTCATGTGCTTTTAGCAAGCAGCAAACAACTATAAAAAGACAGGGAGAAAACAACAGATGGCTCCTAGGCCCAGAGAGAACAGCTTCAGTCAGGCTGTTGTCATCAGGGTTTTGGGACTTGGGTGACTCCTGGACTTCAATTTCAAATTGAGCTCCAAACTTTTAAAGACCATATGAAGAATATCATTGAAAAAAAATTCAGTAACTTATTTGTTACTTTGATCCACTAAGATTAAAGATAAATATTCAGAAAACAAGACCTTTTCAAAGAAAATCCAAATTGATCTTACATGGGTCCAGTTTTGGAGGTAGGGCAAGTATATTCTGCCTTGAGCATCCACATGTTTTCCAACTGAGATTCCCATATTTGCGGTTGGCTTTAAGAAGCAAATAGGGGGAGCAAAAGGGTGAGAATCCAAAATCCACAAACGAATTGGTATGTTGTATGTATTACCTATTCGAGACAAAATAAACACACTTCAAACAATTATAAAGCATACACATTTACTTATGGTATAGCTAGATGGCATTTTAAGACATATAGTCAAGTTTATACATAAAAGATTTATGTAAATCAAAGCCTATTTTCCCCATTTCATCTACATTCACACTGGAAATATGTTCCCATCAAAGCACCAGTATAACATTTGAGGAAATTTAATTAAGGGAATAGCCAGCTCATCCAATTCGACTTAATAAATATTTACAGGGCCTATTGTGTCAAGAGTCCAAGATACACCATCTTCGCTGTATACCTTCTTTGCTCTACCCAAGCAGAGCTACTGTACCTTTTTTTTAATTGTACCTTTCTTAAATGGTAGTGGATGGTTCTATTTTTATACTTCTTCTGCATCAAAATTATTTGCTTACAGGTCTGTTTTTCCTTTTACCCTGTAAATGTCTTCCTAAGAGAGGATTACAGATTATTCATTTCTATATCTCCTGTCCCAAATATAGTGCCTAACATACTGGCTGCTCAGTAAAAATTTCTTATATAAATAAGGACTGAGTAAATAAACAAATGAAAAAATAAATGAATGAGCAAAGATGAATCTGATACTGGCCCTCAAGCTGCTCACTAATTACAGGCACTATAGGATACAAGCTAGGTTCAATACATAGAAGATGTAATAAATAGAGATAAAAATAACCTCAACAGTCACTTTGCCCAGTGGCTCTTAAATTTTAGTGTACTGAGATAAGAACTTACGTGTATGCTCTTTCAACTGTAACCATGGTCATGCCTACCAAGAGCCAAAATTTGACTGCCTTGGTTGCTAGGAAGCCCAAAGCTAAACCTAATATAAGTATACAAACTAACCTTAAACTAGAAATCTGATCAATTACCTTAGCTGTTTTTTTGTATCTCCTGATATTTATTTCTGTTTTCATAGTTATAATGCATATGTCTTTCACTAGATGCTCAGAAGCAAGAATGCCTAAGTTCGAATCTTAGTTCCACACATTACTAGCTATACGATTTTAGGCAACTTACTTAACTTCCTTGTCTCAGTTCCTTCCTCTATAAAGTGGGAAAAATAATAGCTCCTACCCCATAGGGTTGTTGTGAGGGTGAAATTAGTTAATGTATGCAAAATGCTTAGAACAGTATATGATATGGTAAGTATTTCAAACCCATTTTGAAAATAGGCTAGGTATAAATAAAAATAGTTTTCTTTTCCACTGCAACCCTTTTCTTACTAAAGAAATCCCTTCACTGAAAGCTACCCTTTTTATCTTGCTTACTCTGCCACTAAGCACAATGATACGTAGCCCTGTCTGCAAATTAGAAACACTTATAGAACTTCAAAACATACCAGTATTCAGGGCAGCCCCTCAAAGTTTCTGATTTAATGGGACGGGACCTGGACATCCTTTTTTAAAAGCTTCCCATGTTACTCTAACATGTAGCTAGGACTGAAAACCAGTACATTATAGAAATGTTCTAATACCTGGGGTGGGGGGGCTGCTATTTTATATCAGCAGTTCTCAGAACCATACTCCTCTTCTGCTTTTGTCTATTAAAAAAAAATTTTTTTTAATTGAGGTATGTCACCAGATAAGTCCAGTTAACATCAGTTACCACAAAAAATGTCTAAGTATTAAAATATTGGGTATAGGCATAGCTGTTGATCTGCAGAAACTCTAGAACTATAAAGTTATGTGATCATAGCCCCACAAAGTGATCGAAAGGTACTGAGACACACTACCACATTCTTCCAGAAGGTACTCTGTCTAATGTTATATACTCTAGGCCAGTGTTTTTCAAATGTTGGTTACACTAAATGGGTCACAAAATTAATTCAGGGGATCTGTAAACAAAATATTTTAAAATAGAATTGAATAGAAAACAGCACATGACAGGTAGTATGGTATTTCAGTTATATACATGTGTGTATACATATATTAGCTACATATATAAAAGTATTTCTTTCTGTGAGGTCACAGTCAAAACATTTGAAGGCCACTATTCTAGGCCACGCAAATTTTTTTGTTTAATAATATAGCTGGAATGGCAATCCAAATCCTGATTAAGCCCCTTTCTTTGTCAATCACTATACATTAAAGAAAAGGAAAGAAATATTTATTAAAGGTATATTCCTGGTTGATCAGTGATCTGCCACCTCCATCAATGCCCCCTTAGCAGTGTTCATGTATTTTAATAGCCCATGCCCAGCAAAGTACCTGGTGGGTCTGGTTCCCATGTCTAACTGGTAAGATTTCACTACTGGTGTTCTCTAGTCTCTTCTTCCTTCCTTCTTTCCAATTCTTTTCTGTCAGCAACTGCCTTGCCTCCTACCCTGCCCATTCAGCTGTCAATAATTCATTACCAAAGAATCAAAACTCCTGGTAGAGTCCTCAGATTTAAAGTAACTATAAGTAACTGTAAAGTAACTGTAAGTTAGCTGTAAATAAAGTTTAGGTGGATATCATCTTATTAAGATGTACACATCTCTGAAGAACGGGTGGATGAAGAAAAAGTGTCATCAAGACCTTGATACAATCTTGGAGGGACGATAAGAAATAATCTAGAAATTTTCTGCAGGTATACATAAGGAAGTATCAACAGAAGATTCATCTAGGGAATAGGACTGGGTAGGTGGTTATATATAAGCTTAACTTCACCCTTTCTCAATTGTTTAAATTTTTTTAGCATGAACATATATTATTGTTATACTAACAAAACTAGTAACTAAAAGAAAGTAATACAGGCAGACAAATAATAATGACCAACATTTATTCAGCACTAACTATGTGCTAAGAACTATGCCCAGAGCTTTACTTATAGTAATCCACTTAATTCTTGCAATTCTAGAGTTAGGCTTTATTATTGGCCCATTTTATAGATGAGAAAGATAATGCA